GGAAGTAGCCTATTTTTTTTTTTTTTTTGAATTTTCATTTAAATTCTAGTTAGTTAACATACAGTGCAATATTGGTTTCAGGAGTAGAATTCAGCGATTCATCACTTACATACAACACCCAGTGCTCATCACAAGTGCCCTCCTTAGTACACATCACCCATGTAGCCCATCCCCCCTCTCCCATCTCCCTTCTCTATTGTTAAGAGTCTCTTAAGATTTGCTTCCCCTCCCCTCTTTTTTTCCTTCCCATATGTTCATCTGTTTTGTTTCTTAAATTCCACATCGGAGTGAAATCATATGGTATTTGTCTTTCTCTGACTATTTCGCTTAGCATAATACTCTCTAGCTCCAGCCATGTAATTGCAAACGGCAAGATTTCATTCTTTTTGATGGCTGAGTAATATTCCATTTGTGTGTGTGTGTGTGTGTGTGTGTGTGTGTGTGTGTGTGTGTGTATGCCACATCTTTTTTTCTTTAACATTTATTTATTTTGAGAGAGAGAGAGTGTATGTGTGCGTGAGCAGGAGGGGGGAGAGAGACAGGGAGAGAAAGAATCTCAAGCAGGCTCTGCACTGTCAGCTCAGAGCCCATTGTGGGGCTTGATCCCACTAACTGTGAGACCATGACCTGAGCAGAAATCAAGAGTCAGACGCTTAACCAACTGAGCCACCCAGGTGCCCCTATATGCCACATCTTGTTTATCCATTCATCGTCGATGGACATTTGGGCTCTCTTCATAGTTTGGCTATTGTTGATAATGCTGCTATAAGCATTGGGGTGCATGTCATCCTTCAAAACTTTTTGTATCCTTTGGGTAAAATACGTAGTAGTACAATTGCTGGATCATAGGATAGTTCTATTTTTAACTTTTTGAGGAAACTCCATACCGTTCTCCAGAGTGGCTGCACCAGTTTGCATTCCCACCAACAGTACAAGAGGGTTCCCCTTTCTCCACATCCTCGCCAACATCTCTTGCCTGTGTTGTTAATTTTAGCCATTCTGATAGGTGTGAGGTGGTATCTCATTGTGGTTTTGATATGTATTTCCCTGATGATGAGTGATATTGAGCATTTTTTCATGTGTCTGTTAGCCATCTGGATGTCTTCTTTGGAAAACGTCTGTTCATGTCTTCTGCCCATTTCTTAACTGATTATTTGTTTTTTCGGTGTTGAGTTTGATAAATTCCTTACAAATTTTGGATATTTACACTTTATCAGATATGTCATTTGCAAATATCTTCTCCAATTCTGTAGGCTGCCTTTTAGTTTTGTTGATTATTTCCTTCATTGTGCAGAAGGTTTTTATCTTGATAAGGTCCCAATAGTTCATTTTTTTGCTTTTGTTTCCTTTCATTCCCACGACGGCAGACTATTTTTTTTTAATGATAGCTATTTACTGTGAAGTTAAATGACTTTGCGGTAAAAAACCAGCAAATTAGGGGCACCTGGGTGGCTCAGTCAGTTAAGCATCCGACTTTGGCTCAGGTCATGATCTTGCTGTTTGTGGGTTTGAGCCCTGCATCAGGCTCTGTGCTGACAGTTCAGAGTCTGGAGCCTGCTTCAGATTCTGTGTCTCCCTCTCTCTGCCCTTGCCCTGCTTGTGCTCTCTCTCTCAAAATAAATAAACATTAAAAAAAATTTTTTAAAAAGACAAGTGAATGAAAGTATATCACTCTAAATTCACTTTTGGCTTCATTTTGCATAGTTGGCAATCTGTGTGTGTACTCTAATGCTCTGCAATTTTTTTATTTGTGGAAGCAAAGGCTTATCCCTACTTCTCTTACCATCTCCTGATGATCCCACACCCTGGTATCTGACCAATATTTTATTAAAACAGTGTTTTTCAAGCTGCATGAGTCATGTAATCAATTTAGTCAGTCACAGCCAGCATTAAAAAAAAAAAAATAGAATAGACCAGAAATCAGTTTGGGGGGTGCATATCGTTATTTAAATATGCATTTCCATGAAGTGGCACAGTTTACATCATTGTCACTTTAGAAAACTATGGAATATTTGTGCTGAAATGCCATGGTTCCATGAAACTATGTGAGAAGAGCCTAGAAAATCCTTGGTGGGCAGGGGCAAGAGTCTGTTTCCAATGCTCTGATGATTTTTGAGGTCATTTGAAGAGGATTCTGCAGATGAGATCTAGAGAAGGTGGTTTTGGCTTTGGGAAGGTCAAGGGAGATTACAGCTAAGAAGGCTGAAGTTGCAAGAATGAGTGAGAAGCATCAGAGCAACTTAGGAGAAGGTTTTTAAGGGAAAAGATTGAATTTGTTTAATTAATAAGGAAGAATAGTGTTGGCAACAAAAAAGATCACAAAAGGGGAGGATGTAAATGCCTCTTCCACTCACTCAGCTTTGAACCTGAGTCCAACCAGCTTGTCCTCTTCTTGTAGAATCCTTCTCTAATCCCAGATTCCACATCAGCCCCAAGGGAGTGATCACAGAAGGAGATCAGCTCAACATTAAGTGCACCATTCAAGTGACACACCTGGTGCAGTCATTTCCAGAAATCATAATCCAGAAGGACAAGGCAATTGTAGCACACAAGACGCATGGCAATGAGGCCACCTACTCAGTGATGGCCATGGTGGAGCATAATGGCAACTACACGTGCAAAGTGGAAGCCAGCCGGATATCCAAGGTCAGCAGCATCGTGGTCAACATAACAGGTAGGGCTGCTGCTGGAGGATGTGTGAATATGGTAGGCTCAAGCAGCCACTGTGCTGGAATCCAGAATGGCCAATGAGAGCGGATATTTCTGCTCCTGCTTGTCTGAATGAATGTACTCAGGTGGGGGCATGGTGCTCAAGGGGAAAAGTCAATGCAGAGTCAGTAAGCAGTTAGCTGTGGTGGTTGAGGGTGCAAGTTCTGACATCAAATCCCAACACTGCCACCCACTACTTCAGTGACCTTAGGTGAATTACTCAGCTTCTCCTTGCCACAGCTCTATGAGATGGGGATAATGACAGCACTCACCTGTAGGACTGTCTCAATGATGAAATGACATGACTCTGCTATAAACAGCCTCATACAGAATAAGCACTCTGTGTGAATATTAGCCAGTGTGTCTGCTATTATATTTATCTTTCCTCTGTGCCAGGCACTATGCTAGATCCCAGACCCAGGTCCTAAGACTGGGTCAGGAGTGAGAAAGCATTAGCAAATTCAAGAACAATAGCAACAATTCCCTTTTGTTGAAAACTCTATGACTGGTTTACATACATTTGCATTTCACGCTCATAACAATGCTGTGAGATAAGGATCATGATTCTGGTTTTATGGGTGTGGAAACTGAGGCTGAGATGTTAGGTAACTCACCCCAATGATTATAGGGTTACCAAGTGGCAGAACAAGAGTCACCCCAGGCCCATTTGACTTCCAAACCCATGCACTTAAAAGTTCTATTGGACTCCTTTCCCCCTTTCCTGGCTTTACTTCTCTCCATAGCACCTATTACCAAAAAAATATATTCTATCTCTTCCTGTTTATTGTATGTATCCAGGCATTGGAATGCAAGCCTATGAGACTAGGAACGTTACCCATTTTATCCAGTGCTATGTCCTTAACACCTAGAATAGAGCCTGGCACATAGTAGGACTTAAATACATATTTGTTGGATGAATGAATGAACATTGGACGACTGTGTTTCAGAGGGCAGAGAGAGTCAGCACTTCGTGGTTGCCATGTGAAGGTATTCATTCATTTCTTCATTTACTGAAAGCCTTCTATGTGTAAAGCACTGAGTGTAGTCACAGGGACAGTCCACAGTATCATAGGAAAGTTGTCAACTACCCAACTGGGTGATTGGCATATGTGTTGGATCCCACTGGTCTATAGTGTGTACTAATAACTTAGTTTATTATTGATAATGATAAATATCTTGATGGTACATGATATTTTTCGCTGATAAGACATGTATTATCTCATTAGAGAAAAGTTTTCAATTCAACAGACATTGAGTACCATCCGCATGCTGGGCAACTTATTGGGGATAGACAGCTGCCTAAGGTCAGGCTTTGCTCCTGACAAACTCACAGACATAAATAGACTATTTGAATGCAATGCAATGAGCAAGTACAACCAAGGGATGGACATACTACTGTGAGAGCAACAGGGACCATGTGGCAGACCAACTGAAGGTTGCATCAACCAGAGCAGCATCTTTACCCCTCAGGCCAGGCTACTTTAGGAAAGCATAAAGCATCATTGGACCCTAGGATACTACTGTTGTAGGTGATCACCTACACCCAGAAGTCTGTATCGGGTGGGGTATACAAGCCATTCAGTAGATCAGTCTCCCTGGCCCAAGATAACAGAGTGTTACACACAGCCTGCCCTTTCTGTCCTTTTAGCCTGAGTGCTCTATGATCCTGAGCTCTGCCCTTTCCACCCAGAGCTAACTGAGCCACACCAGGGCTGGCAGGCAAGTACCCTCATGTTCAAGTTCCACCAGGCCTTTGGAAAGGTCTCCAGGCCCACTGATGCATCTAGTGATCCATGCCCCTGTTGCCATCAAGCTTCACTGTCAATGGCTCTATTGAGTGATGTTAGCAGCTCACAATAGATTTATGAAAACAGAAGTCATTGAATTAGTCATTTGTCTTTGGATAGAAAAGACACCTTCATCCCCCACTGTCTACCTTTTCAGATCTGTTCTGTCACCAGGTGTTGTAGGTCTTTCAGCTCTGTTCTGTCTTCTTGTCTCGGTAATCACACCCTAACACTGGCCCTCACACCAGGATTACCTATTGCAGGGGTTTCCTGGAGTATCTCTGTTCCAGTTCATTCTTCAACCAGCTATAGGAGAAGCCCTCCTAATATGATCCCTATTTGACATCACTGTTCATGAGCTTCAACCCTGAATGGTCATGATCCTTCACTTTGACCCCATCCCCTTCCCAATGTCCCTCCCACTCTCCCTGGGCCACTCTTTCCCCTCGGCCACTGAAAAACTTCTGTTGTCCTTAAAGACCAAACCCCAGATCTCCCTCGGGGGTCCCCCAGGACAGTTCCATGGTCACACCTTAGTTCCTATCACACTCGGTTTCCATCTTTATGTCAGTAGTCACTACAAAGGTCTAGAGTCTGCCATCACCACTTTGGGTAAGCTCTTGAAGGACCAGATCTGTGGCTCAATTCACCTTACATCATTGACACTTAGCACAGACTGGCACGTTGGAGGAGCTCAGTAAGTGTTCATTCAACAAGTGAATAGAAGACTAATTCTTATTAGTCTACGTGATGGTCCTGCTGGTCTGTTACATTACCTGCAAATGGATCATTTACAAGTGGACTATTATTTCCTTACATTTCATTCCTACAAACCATCTTGCACCTACTTCTGAAAGATGGTTTCTATTTTTCACATTTTCGTTTACATATTTTTAAATAGTGAGTCATTGCTTTGGAATTTTTTTGCTAAGTGATTTTTTTCACATTTTTTGGTATCTGTCCACTGGGATTGTAAAGGCTTTTAGGATGTCAGTTTCTTTGGTTTCTTTTTCCCATTCCTAAACTAGAGCTTTTGATGGTGCTAGGAAAACAGATAAGTCAATGCTTATGTGGAAGGAAGGATGGAATGTGTCTTAATAAAACATAGATTAATTATTGGACTACCACCTTACTTGAAGTTTTATTTTATCCCTTGTTGAGGAAACTAGGAAGGCATTGGGGATTGATTTTGATGGAAATAACTCCTATAGATAGCTACTTAACATCAATGACAATGACAGTGTTGATTTGTACCTCCCAAAAACCTGTATGGCAGGTAAATTTAGAACCAAATGTAGAATTTGATTCCCTGACTCCTGGCTGCACTCTCAAGCCTCTAGCCCAAGAAGCTTTCCAAAGAGGGACTTTGGGTCTCAGTTCCTTTCTCAATATGAAGATAGTTTCAAAAATTACTGACTTCGTCCTTCTGCATCACAGGGAATAATCTTGAAGCCAGCGTGCATTTGCTTACATGAAGGACCACTGCACAGTGGTTAAGTAGTTAATTAGTAATTTTCCAGTAGCTGAAATTAAAAACATAGTCCATGACTATGAAATCTTGGTGTATTTCAGGGAATATTCAAATAAGATGACAAGACTTCTTAAAAGTCAGCTTCTGTCTTTATTGCTGTTGACATCCAACCTCAACTATGGTGCTAGTGACTCCTTAAAGTGGCATAGAATGTTACAGCTTACAAAGTACGCAACCTCAGGTGTTATCTTCTCTGTGGGAAGTGCTAGAGGGATGGTGACCAGCTGCCACTTCTCCCCAACCTCATGCTCTCTGCATCAAGCCTGCACTTCATCCTTCTTGCTCCCAGTCCAGGCTCTCAGTCCCATCCATTCTCCCTCCAGATATCTCCCTATAACACACATCTGATGTCATTCCCCCAAGCCAAACTCTCCATGGTTCCCATTGCCCCAGGATACAATTCACACTTGTTTAGATGGTTCTCAAGGTCCTTCAAGATCGATAGGTCTTCCTCTGGCCGCTTCTACTCCCACTAAGTTCCAGGACTTTCAGGTGCTCCAACTTCCTGCCAGGACTTGCATTGGCTCTTCTCTCTGCTTAGAACACTCCCTGTTTGCCTGGATAGTTCCTGTAAGAGTCCTTTCCTGATTCCCCGATCCTAGGTTCAGCTATCCCCTCCATGGGCTCTCCTGCAAATAACCATGTCTGAATCACCCACTAAACGTAAGCACTTGGAAGTCAGGGACTTTTTTTTTTTTTTCACAGCTATCTCTGATGCCAAGCAAGGTACCCAGTACAGAGAAAGTGTGTACTAAATACTTATGAAATAAAGCATATGAGTGAATGAATACCTGGGTGGATGCATGAATCATCACTGCTGCATTACACAGTGAAAAACTTTTCTAATTCATTTTTATGAAATAAATTGGATTAACAAGGGTAGAAAACCTGCCATTGCAATCCCAGGCAAAGAATGAACTCTAACTCTTGAATTGTGTGATTATCGGGTTTCATGAGAAGCTAAAGAGAAATTTCTGCAGCAAGTTTGGGGATTGGCTCTGACAAAAGCAGCTGGGTCAAGGGTCTCTCTGGAAGGGGGCTGCGGGAGTGGTGCCCGGAAACGTCTCACCTCCTTCTACTCACTGGTCTTCCAGAGCTGTTTTCCAAGCCGAAGCTGGAATCTTCCGCCACCCGCCTGGATCACGGTGAAAGCCTGAACCTGTGGTGCTCCATTCCAGGAGCACCTCCAGCCAACTTTACCATCCAGAAGGAAAACACGATTGTGTCACTGTCTCAAAATTTCACCAAGATAGCCTCAGAGAGGGACAGAGGGACATACACCTGCAATGCAGGCATTGGCAAGGTGGTCAAGAAAAGCAATGCAGTCCAGATAACTGTGTGTGGTGAGTACATCCTCGCTGGCTCAGAGAGTCTTGGGGTGGAATGAGAGAAAGGCAATTTATCACCAGCTGCCACCCTCTCCAGTCTGAAGGCAGATCAGACTAAGACAGGGTAACAACTTGGGGGTAAGAGGAAGCAGTGATATCAAGAGACCAAACAAGTGTGTATTCCTTCTTGGAGGACAGGAAAGAGGCAGTACAAAGAAAATGTTGGCAAAAATCAAGTTCATGGCTTTATTGTGGCTGCATGCTGTTGATGGGGCTGAGTTGGCAAGATTCTGGCTGCTGGAACAGGCACCCTCTAAAAGGTCAGGGAGGAATCACTGCTTACGCAACACTAAATTTTAGGATCTCAATTCCATATCCTGATCCATATCCTGGCTGACCAGCAGGGCTGGGACTCCTGGTGGGCCGAACATAGGTACCAGAACCACCTACGGCTGTGCTTCTCAGAGTGACTGTGCATGCAAAACCCAGTTAGAACACAGGTCCGGTTGGAGCCAGATTCCACATCTCTAACTAGATAGAGCCTTGGGGATGCTGGGTCCTGGACCACCCTCTGAGTAGAGGAGTCTAAGTGAATGGAGAGCTCTGGTCAAGCTGTCACAGGCTCTGTTGTTATTCAGTCACTGTCCTTCAGTTTACCCTGTGGCTGTGGTTTTAGCCAGCCAAGATTTTAGTCTCAACTCAATGAGGATCGTAGTCTATTGTCAACTCTCTCATCATGGAAATCCAAAGGAAATAATGCAAGAGACAAATGTGGGCCATTACATTTTCATTTTCTCTGTTGTTCTTGGAAGGAGGTCATTTCATTTTATAAGCTTTATCAATAAGTGAACTTCTAAATAAGGACCTAGTAGAATTCTTGCTTCTTGGGGCATGCAGTTTATGATCAGGAGAGGCTGAGGCACTGAGGATTTGTTTTCAAATAAAATCTGTTTGGTACTTGTTATATTTTTAATGCATTTCCTTATATCTTTTCTCAATATAACTGCCACAACATATGGATGTGTGTGCATGTGAGATGCATGGAAATATAAAAACGTATTTATTTATTTTTTATATTTTATTTTTGAGACAGAGAGAGGCAGAGCATGAATGGGGGAGGG